CATATTGTGAATAGTTTTGGCTTAACGTTTTTACGACCGGCCGCCTGCCTGGCATCAACCCTCATTGGGAATTCATTAAATACTCTTAGAAAGTATATATGACTCGGAATAATCACATTGGTACTTGCCCGGGCCAGGATCGAACCCGCGCCCTCTTGAGAGGCGGGCCTTTTAACCACTAGGCCACCACTGACTTATTATATTATTTTTTTATTCCCATAAAACAAATAGCCATTACGAAATAATAAAAACATAAACAAAACGTCAAGCTTTGTTACAATTACGAATCTAATTAACGATACAACAGAATCTCGCAAAAAATAATTATATAAAAGAAAATCAATTTCCACAACACACACGAAGTTAATCGCCAATTAGGTAAAAAATTAATAAGTATTTCTAAACATGGTAGCCATTTGCGCGTATTCGTCACAGATGAAGAAATTTTGAATAAAATGGAGGGAAAACGTTTGACAGACGTAGTTGGTATTTGAAATATCAGAATGAAATTTCTTTATATCTTCGTTGTCTGTCTTGCTGTTGCGTTGGCGGCGCCCGCGGTAAGAATATTTATAATTTACATTACATATATATATTTAACTAGTTTTTGCCCGCGACTTCGTCCGCGTTAGTTTGTTCAAGAGTAAAATATGTAGGTATAGCTGACCAAGCGAACTCTATTCCGTCTTAGAGGCCATAAATAATCAGGTTTGTCCTGTTTCAATTAAACAGAATGATTGACATATGAGTTAGTTGTCAAATCTAATGTCAAAAAAAACGTTTGTATGGGAAATAGAAAAGGGCTGTTTTTAGGGTTTTCCCGGCAATTATTCCAATTTTTCTCATCTTTTAAACCTTCCCTGAACTTCCAGGAGTATTTCAAGACTAAAATTAGCCAAATCGGTTCAGCCGTTCTCGAGTTTTAGCGAGACTAAGGAACAGCAATCCATTTTTATATATATAGAAGATTATAGTATTTTCTAGAACTTTAATAGTATGTTTACTCCAAGTTTAGGCATAGATTTTGATTCATCTTCTCACATTATAATATTAAATTAGGTTATTTAATGAATAACTAGAAAAAAACTAAAAAGCATATTTAGTATTACGATTTTGACCTTCACTGAGCATATTTTTCTTTTTACGAAGACATATACAACAATAACGCATTATTACAGATGCCATAATAAACTGTGTTTTTGAAATATATTTTACAACATATATAAAACTGTACAAAAACTTAAATACTTTTTCATAATCTATGCCATTCTATGATATAAATTAGTTTTGTATAGAGAAGTCAAGTTTTAATTACACTGCCATCGATTGACAAAGTTAAACATTAATCAATTCATAGTCATTTTCATTGATTAAACAATACGTTTTAATAGAAAACATTAATTTTATTCTAATTACTTTCAGCCCGATCAAGATGAACAACAGGTATGACTTTTAATACTGTTTTCTATATTCTTGTAAATTAAAATTAAAAAATTAGGTTTTAAATTTAATTATTTTATTTTCAAGGATCAAACCCGTAGGCGACTGAGAGGACTGCGTCTAAAAGTTAGTTTAAATTTAAATAATACCTTAAATCATTCATACAAGAATTTCTATATCCAATATTTAATACATAAATCTTCATTTCATAATCTTTATTTTTTATAATACACATTCGTAATAAATTATTAAATATTCTAACCACGCTTTAATGAAAAAATAAAAAAAAAATAACAATCAAAAAGACATAAAAAAATGAAATGTAGATTATATTTAATAATCTTTTTTTGACAGATAGCAGAAACTGAGCCCGCGGTAAATATTGATTTTAGCTTCGTTTAATTATTTTATTTATTTTTGTTAAAAATATATACAAACTTCTTATTAATTTATTATTATTATTTTTAGAAAAACGAACACAAAAATGAACGCTCGCGTTACCGTTACGACGATTACAACTATCTCAGGGTAATTTTATTTTAAATACAATACATAAAAAATTAAATAATATTATATATAAAATATTTATAATAAATATTTATTCATACAGAAAGTCGCACAGAATGTAAGTATATATTTAATATTATAATAAAGTTTTAATAATATTCTTTGAAATATCAAATGTATTTATTTAGATATTTTCTCAATTTATTGATAAATCTTAGTAATAATTTAGTATTTACAGAAAGCTTCATCTCCGTATCAAGTGAGGGAGAACGTGAGTAAAAATAATACATATTAAAAGACTAATAATAAAAATTAATTAAGAAATATATGAATTTCAAGTAAATGTATGAAATAGCTATAAAAATGGATATTTACTAGATTGTGTATTTTATTATAGAATCAACAATCATACTACGATTTGGGCGTAAGTAAATATTTAAATAACTAATAAAAAAGTCAATATTTAAATAACTAATTTGTAAGCAGTTCTGAACTCTATGCCTATTTCGAAATTATATACGTCACAATATACAATTACTATTAATGATTTTACATACATAAATCTTAACATATTATAGTATTAATATAACTTATTGAATGTTAAGTGCTTATAAAGTATGATTATGCGAAATTGTTCTAAGTATTCATATACAAATTTTGCATACTCATTGTTCAAATGACAAAATGTGTCAAAATGATTGACGTCAAGATGGCGTATAGCTTATGTCGGCAGCCATATATATTAAATTAAAGTTTAGTTGGAAATAATCTTATAATAAGTGGTCTTAATATTGATTTATTAATTTGTTGTTATTATTTTCATAGAGCCTCCAGTTTAGATACGTAAGTGCATTTGTTTTATCTTTAAATATATAAATAAATATAATTTTAAATATACGACAATTTCTTTACTCAAGCATTAGACATTTTATCATCTATGTCCTATAATTTGGCAATTTGCCTATATTCTACACTAAAATTTCATTTAACTCAAATATAATTAAAAATGCTTGAAAAACAATTTGAGTAGCTAATAGCTATTAACTTTTAACTCAGCAAAATTATCATAGTTTCACACCAATTGCCTTCTAAAAGCTTCAATAATTTGTTTGTGTACAAAAAAAAAACATCTTAATTTTAATATTTCAGCAACCACCATCATCTCAATCTTCAGCAAACGTAAGTATTCTATCGCATTTGACTTAAACAACCTGACTCCATACTTGAAGATTTAAAATTTTTTTTCTACCTAAATCTTATTTTGAATAAAAAAATATATATTTCATTGTTAATAAATAAAATACCATAAATAATATGAAGTAATCAAAAAATCCTAACAACAAAAAGATAATTTAAAAAAACAGTCATTCATTTGCATTGATTTTTTTAAATGTCAAGTTATTTTGACGTCATTGTATTTTTTCAGTCCCAATATGACGACGCCGTGAGTACAAATGAAAAATAATTAAGTATTTCTTATTTCTAAGTTCATTTTATATTCTTATTTTAATGACTAATGATATATTCCCTTTAGTATCTGCTGACGCCTAACCTTGTAAGTGTCATAGATCAATATCTATATGTAGTTATGAAATTCTCTTAATACTTTTATAAGAATATACGAAAACTGATAGTTTTAGTAAAATAAAAAAAAATATTTATACCTGTACATATGTATAACCAAATAGTTAAAATTTTATGTTATTATGTAATTAATTTTTTTTTGTTTTTATTAGAACTACTATCGTGCTGCGTACTTGGTAAGTTTTTGTTATTAGAATTACATAAAAACGAGACAAAAACATCACAACATACTATTTATTAAATTATTACTTCTTACAAGACTTAATGCTAAAAAGATTGTTATTGAAATTGATATGAATATTTCCTAGTTTTAAATCATAACTTAATAAGTGTTACATTTGTTTTCGAAATTATAAGCATAGACTACGCTTAAAATAAGCATAGACTACAATTAAAATAAGCATAGACTACACTTTTTACCGCCATTTTTTAAATTTCTTTCAGAGGGACGACCAATATCGCAGTGATGACGACGATGATGACGACGATCGCAGAGATTAAGGCCAACGATTTATTTTATTGATTAATAACTATATTGTCAGAACGAAAATCATTAATGAATTGATGTTGCAATGATATATATATTTTTTATTTGTACCACAGACTAAACTTACAATATTTGCTTTTTCGTTTGCTTTGGGGTGGATATTAACTAAATTTAAACCGCAATTTACTAATTTTTGTCACTTGAAATAAAAATCTTGGTTTCACTACTGCCTGAAATCTTGTTTTGATTAGTTAAAGAAAATACCCGTTCTCTTGATTGATTTTTTTTCATAAAGTTAATATATTTAGTTACTATTGAAACAAAAATACAATGTGTGACCGATTTATATTGATACGTACGAGGAATATTTTCTAAGCCTTACAAAACAATTTATTTTAATTGAACATTCCGCTCTGTTACTGTTTCTAACTGCAATCATAAGAATTTATAAAACCATACCATTTTTTGGATCAATTGAACTTTGCAAATTTAGCATTGCCAATATTGAGAAAATTTCTTTAGTAATGTTATCAATATTACGCAATATATTGAAGTTATAGCTTACTAAGAAACCATTCATTCATACAGCCAAAATTAAAACACAAGCAGAAGAAATGTTAAACTCTTCATAATGCACATTATAATAGATTTTCTTTTATCAATGTTAAGGCATACTTTGGAAACTATACATAACATAAAAAAATTATTAAAGAAACGATAATTATATATTCCATATGTTTGTAGTTAAAATAACAGCAAAAATAAAACTTATTATATTAATAAATTTCTATACTTCGGCTTCATGCACATCGTTTATCTTATTTCTCAGTCAAATGCGACTATTTTAATCTGTTGCTACATAGTCCAGTATTTATTTGACAATTGACACCATTACTTACTTTGTCAAACGTCAAACAAAGTCACAACTTTGTTACTGAAATATTTTAGCATACATATTGTTTAATAAGATAAGTTTATAAATATGGCTACGGCAATAGACCAGAAAGCATATTTAAAAAAATATCTAAGTTCCGCACCGGAGGAAAAGAAGAAGAAAAAGAAAAAAAACATTAAGGGCAAGGGGTAAGAAATAAAACATTATACATAATATAGCATTAATTATACGAAAATCACTATAATAATACAATTTTATGGTATAGATAACCCTACAAGATATAATCATTTGTATTTTAAATCATCACAGCGATATATATATTATAAAACGTGATGAAAAATCTTTATCAAATTGCATTTAAATCATTCTATTTCATGAAATCTAACACTTGAATGATTATTCATTTAAACGTAACATATATTTTTGGGTTACTACAGACTAATTTATTATTTTTAAATCACATACACCCGATGTTTCGATTACTTTGCAGCAATATCACGGCAAATGCAATGAGAATTATTATATATATTAATAGTACTCTTTTCATCAGGTTCAAGATAATAGATGATGATTTAGACATATCGAAGCTTAGACCTCTCGATGGAGATGAATTGGATATATACAATGAGGGTGAAGATGCTCCACAAGTCGTGGGCATTATAGATGAAAGACCCGAGGAATTGAGAAAATTAGATGGTGATAGTACTACTAAATGGAAAGTTATCAACCAGGTAAAAGACTTTGTTAATTTAATTTAATAGTTAATTTTAATTTATAATTTAAGCCTAACATTTGCATGCCTTAAGGTAGAATGTACTGGAACTTATACTAGATTCTATTTTATACACCTATATTCTGTACCTACATTCAGAGCAAGTAAATATTATTATTATTATTAAATAATATGTTTGTTTTTGAATAGTAGTGATATCATTTTGAATGGGATTTATCTATACAGTAGAAACTCGATTAACTGGACTGATGGTTGTCGATATTAATTTGGATAGCCAAATGTATGAAAAAACCGGTTTTGTCCATATATAGTACATGTTTTGTTATTTATTCAAAAAAAATACATATCAACGAAAATCAGTGTTTATTATTAAATAATTAATAAAAGGATATATTTTCTTAGATTAAATATACATACAGATACATGTTTGTACTAAAAACAAATAATCATGAAATAAATTGCAATATGTATTTCGTAATTTGCAATTGGTGATCATAAATTAAAATAATAAGTTTAATTTGGTTTAGAATATTTGATAATTGTCATTTAACGCTCGCCACTCTCAACAACACCACTCTCTTATGCTTTGACATTCTTTTTTGTCCAGACTTGTCCGTAGTCCAGATAATTGCGAATTTGTATAACTGAGGGCCGGATAATCGAGTTTTTACTGTATTTATTGCTTGTTGAAAATATACATATCTTTCTTAGCAAGTAAGCTCAAAAGCTTACTTGTTAAATAGTGTTGTGACAAACTAGGGTTAAAATATTCAATATAAAATGTTATAACAATATTAGTTTTTAACTGTATATAATGTTTGTTATATGTAAATGTTATTAATTTCAATGTAATTTTTATTTATATAAATCTTGTATATTTCTTTAATAAAGTAAAGATGACCATCTTGTATCAGAAGATTATTGAAATTATTGAATATCTTACAATATGTAGCATGAAAAATTCATTCAGGATTTCAAATTAAGACATTTAAAATAATGTGTTTCTGTTATTTGCTAACTAAGCTATTGCATATTGATTCTAGTATGTGAATTTTTATTGATTTAATATTTATATTGTTCCATGTATTGCCTTTTTTTAAGAAAATTTCAATTAATATTTGTTGTACAGGGTGACTGGTGAATTACTATCAATATTTAAGGAGAATACTCGGTACATGATTCTCATTCGAATTATGTAAAAAAATAGGCACTTAATTTTTGACAAAATTTCCGTATAAATAAATAAAGTGTTGACACGTTCCAAGTGTTCCAAGTGTGGACGCGTGCGGCGGCGTACTGATACAACAACACGCCGCCGCGCGCGAGTGTGTGTGTGTGTGTGTATACCTAATCTGTAGGGTGTTCACACGATGCGTAATTAATTACATAACTTTTGGTTAACTTTACTTAGAAGTTTATTAATATTTATGTTATATTAATTTTTATTTTGTCATATATGATCGTCAAATATCACGTCCTCAAGTATCGATAGTAATTCACCAGTCACCCTGTATATCACTAATTTTTCATTCTATATTCACTAATAAAAAAATTAGTTTAAGTATTAGCTTACCATTGCTTTAATATCAACATTATTCCATTAAGACAATAAATATAATTGCATTATGATAAATATTTAATATAATTGTATATCATTTTCAGGATGACGGTTTCAATAGTAAGTTGAAAGTTGAAGAAATTAAAAAGGACAGGAAAGAACTTGAAAAAGAAAATGAGATAGTGTTCGGTAAAATGTACAGCGATTCTGAAGATGAAGTCAAAAATGATTCAGATTTATCACCACCAAGAAAAAATGGCGATAAAATAAGCCAACGCAGAGACAGTGACTTTAGTCCGCCTCGGAAAAGAAATAAATCTAATTCTGATTCCGATATATCACCACCAAGAAGAAATACTAAAAATAATGAACATGATAATCAACATAAGAAAACAAAGACTAAATATGATTCTGATGTATCACCTCCTAGAAGAAATAATGATAGAAACGCAAAAAAACAAAGTAGATCACAGAAGAATTATGATTCTGATGCTTCCCCACCAAGAAGAGAAAATCATCAAAATAAACGAAAATCAAGAAAAGATAGCGATAGCGATTTAAGTCCGCCAAGAAATAAGTCACAGAAGAATTACGATTCCGATCTATCGCCACCAAGGAAAAAAGATAAACCAAAAGATAAAGCAAGGAAACCATCCCGTTGGGGACATTTTGATGAAAAAGATAAAGATTTATCACCAGATAGATCGAGAAACAGAAGCCCGAATAACCAAAGAAATTCTCACAAAGAAGATAAGTCTCATAATAGAAGTATAGAGAAACATAGAAAAGATTCTTCCACACGTAAACCAAAATCACCAGAAAGAAAATCAAAAAATACCAATAATAAGATTATGGAGAAAACTTTAGACGGCAAACAGGCGGGGTTACAAGATGCTAATAGATTGAAAGAAGAAAACGAAGCATTTAGACGAAGAGAAAACGAAATGTTCAGAAATATGACTGATGATGTATCTGGCAGAAATGCTAAAGCAGTGTCAAGGAAAGGTATAACATATTTTATATTATATACTAGCTTTCCGCCCGCGTGGAGTTCGGTTATATCGCGTTTCCAAGAGAACCTTTCAAAAGTCTGTGATAAAAACTATCCTATGTTCTTTCTCGAGGTTAAATCTATGTCTGTACCAAATTTCATTAAAATCAGTTCAGTGGTTTAGGCGTGAAAGCGTAACAGACAGACAGAGTAACTTTCGCATTTATAATATTAGTAGAGATATAGTTGACTCTCGTTAATTAGAATCTGCGATAATTCGAATTCCCTACAGTATCTTTATATTTCATACTTAATCAATACATTTTTATTCACTTCGTAATTCGAACGAAATCATTGTTATACAATAAAACGATTCCTTAATTCGAACTCAGCGGTTACCAACTATCGACAAATCAAAGTTGCCGTGAGAAAGAGTTCGAATTATTGTAATATAAGTAAATTTGACAAGTTCAAACTTGAACAAATCTTTAACACAAGTGTCAGTTAAGAAAGCATATTCCTCATTCTTCTGTCTCAAAACAAAAGTGATGAAAAAACATTTCACGCAGTATTGCTCTTAAAATAAGTTATTTAGCAGTTTGTATAGCAACAATGTGTTTTGAATCAAACCAGTATAACAGTTTTTGAGAAATATAATGAATTCACATTATGAATAGATTTATGTATGTATGTATGTACACTCTAAACTTTTTTTCATTGTTATAGTAATAATTGATCAATACTTAGACCTTAGTAATCCGAATTCCCAGAGAGGGTTGATGTCAGACGGCCGGTCGTAAAAACAATTAGCCAAAAGTATTCACAACATGTAAGGCAGACCCTGGCTAAAGCCGGGAAACTGCCAGGTAGAAGAAGACTTAATAATTCGAAGTTTTATTTATTTTTTCTCACAAATTTCGAACCATTTGATATTTTAAACATTCTATAATTCAAAATATTTTAAGAGTCCCTCCAGTTTTGAATTAACGAGAGTCTACTGTATATATGTATATACACATCATATAACTTTAATACATTAATGATATTTTATATTTACAGGCAAAAGAGAAACTTCAGAGGATCGTCAGAAACAAAAAGAAAAGGCTGAAAGACAAAAGGAACTCGATGAAAAATATAAAAAATGGAGTAAAGGGTATGGAAATCATATTTATTTAAATGTCTATTGGAACATTTACAATAACTTTAGTATGTAAATGTAAATTAATAGAACATTTCCATTACTGCATCTACATCAAAAATATACTAAATTATATTACTAGCTCCGCCCCGCGGTGTTACCCGCGGATTTTCGAGATTTCCGGGTTGTTAAGTAGCCTATGTGTTATTCCTGGACGTCAGCTTCCTGTATACAAAATTTGATCAAAATCGCTTCAACCGTTTGATCGTGAAGAAGCAACAAACATACACACTCACAAACTTTCGCAATTATAATATTAGTAGGGTGATATAGTAATATTTTTGAAACATTTCAGTTTAAAACAAGTAGAAGATCAACAAGCAGCATTACAAGATTACATACATGAAGCTTCAAAACCACTGGCTAGATATAAAGACGATGTAGACCTAGAAGATAGATTGAGAGATATAGATAGAAATGGGGATCCAATGTTGAAATATATACGAGATAGAAAAAGAGAAAGGGGGGAGTTGGGACCCGGTGAGTTATTTCTGGCAATTTCCCAGCTATAGCCAGGGTCTGCCTTACATGTATAATAGTTTTGGCTAATTGTTTTTACGACCTGCCTGACATAAATCTTCTTTGGGAATGCATTAATCAGTGATGTCTAAATACTCATAGAAAGCACATAAGTATAACTCATTATATCTTAATTTTTATTAGGATTCAATAATTCTTTACTTAATGCCCACTTAATGTTTGGTAAATGGTTTCAATTATTTTTAATATGCAATTCTGAGAAATCTGACACCTACAGAAGATGAAAAATTTCGTGTCACGTGTTTGTCCGCGATGGACTCTTAAACTACTAAACCCATTTTAAATTAGATTTGCATTCCGTGTGCATTTTGATCCAACTTGAAAGATAGGATAGCTTACATCTCAATTTATAGTCACAATATTATTTTATTGTAAATTATTTACCTATCTATTAAAGAAAATTATTTGTCTTTATTACAATTATCTGTTGACTGAGTTAAGTATTCAATAGATGGCGCTATGTTAAAAATACAAACGTCATATATGAGCGAATATTTAATAATAGCATAACCACCATGTTTCTGAGGCTGAGGTACAACCTAAATTTATTTATTAAAAAAACGTAACAGATATGTCTTGATTATATGGCGATACGAAGTTCGCCGGGTCTCCTAGTTACATATAAAATATATATATGTATACAAAAATTTATTAACAACATTAACATTAATAATCATATAAATATGTTATTTTTTATAGAAAAACCGTCATACAAAGGCAATTTTCCACCGAATCGCTTCAATATAAGACCGGGTTATCGCTGGGACGGAGTTGACAGATCAAATGGATATGAAAATAAATATTTTGAACAACAAAGCAAAAGGAAAGCTCAAGCAGAAGAAGCTTACAAATGGAGTACAGAAGACCTTTAGTAATAATATTGTCTAAGAATTTACTTGTAGTGATGTATAAGATACCTTATATAAAGTATCTGAAATACTAGATACAAAATACCTATCTTGCAAATACTTTTTAAAGATAAAATACTTTTGTAAGAAAAGAAACATTTAATTGAACCATTATGAGAAAACATTTCTTTTGTAATATAGGAAGGTGTACTAAAATTGAAACTATTTTTTTTATACTTTATATTTTAGTTGAGATTTCAGTAGAAGTAATTCCTCAAACATATTGTCGCTCATCTTTCTTCTATGAGCCTCATGATCATAAGGGTAAACATGTGTTTTATTTTAGGTTTTTTTTTTCAAATTGTAAGATAAGCATTTAAGCTCTTAATATTTGCAACTTTATTGTGCTGGAGTGTCTCTAAATCACTGGAACTGCTTGTGTTTTTGCCACTAGCAATAGAGGAATCAGATTCCTACACATATAATAGGATTCATCTTTTGAGATTTTTTTTATAACATCTGCAATGTTCTTTCTTTTTCAGATCGATTGATCTTTCTAATTTCAGACAGGAAAAGTACTTTAACATATTGCTTTCGCGCTTTTGATACTCATTTCAGTTTAAACATTGGATGGGACATTGAGGCTAGTTTAGCATCGTTTGCTGCTGGTGCCAATTGTTTAAACCGTCTATCTAAGTTTTCATCTATTACATCTAGCAGAGTATTTTAAATTTTCCATTCTGAGGCTTTAGATAACACATTTGGTTCTGTATAAATTCCGGTAACAGACAGCCATAATAAGTCTTTTTCCCCTTGCAGGCTCTGAATATCTTCTGCTATTGCTTGGAACAATCCACATATTAACTTAAAAAGTGAATTTCATTTTGAATTTTGTGACATTTCTAGAAAGATAGTGTCCCCATTTGTCATTTGGTTTCCGGCAATATCGACAAAATGTATAAACGACGCGCTGCGTTTAGTTATTTTCGGAAAATTTTAGTAAACGTATCTTGGGGAACAAAATACAAATAGTATTTCAAACACAAGATATAGATACGTATTTTGTATCTGCATTTCAGATACTTTTATTTAAGATAAGTCACACTCACACACATTGTTTACTTGTAGTTTGCAGTATTTCATTCTATAATTGTATTAATTTTTATATAAATAGATAATTTGTGTTATCAAATAAAAATATTTTTAGCTAATAATATAAATGCAAAAGTAACTCTGTCTGTCTGTCTGTTACGCTTTCACGCCTAAACCACTGAACTGATTTTAATGAAATTTGGTACAGACAGAGTTGACCTTGAGAAAGAACGTAGGATAGTTTTATCCCAGACTTGAAAGGTTCTCTTGGAAACCGCGATATAACCGAACTCCACGCAGGCGAAGCTGCGGGCGGAAAGCTAGTTTTCTTATAATTCTCTAAAACATTTCTACAGATAAATAAATAAAAGATTTTTTGTTATATACTTTTATTAAATCCATTCTTTGTTACGGTGCAAAACATATTTCTCACTAAAATGTCACATTATTGCTTTTAAGGCTTTATATTAATGAACTAACGTTTGTAGAATCTTATAACTAATTTCAACTAGTTAAAATTAGTATATGAATTAAGTACTATTTAACTGTGATTTGTATTAATATTCATATATAAAAGAAAGAAAAATATTCAGTCTCAATTTTTAATGACTACAATTTCAGACCTTTTATAACAATTATAATAGCTAAGACAAAATAGGTTTTATTTTTATTATTACAATGTAAATGAGGTTATATATTTGATATCTTGAGATAAATCTTAAGCATTATTTAGTATTGGCGTTGCTCGACATTATTGCCATAGGAGAAATTTTAAAGCTATAAATACAATAAATTAATTAATTAAACAAGGAAATAATATTAAAATTTAGGGAAAAATATAATTTTAAATTTAAATCATGTGCTATAATAAAGTTGAGTTATTACAAATAACTTGAATTATACATATAATGGTTACAATTTTCTTTGTATGTCAACGACGACCTCTGAAACCACCACGTCTGCGATCATCGTGTTCATTCTTATAACCGGAATAACCTTGGTTACTTTGGTAACCATGGTTCCCTTGGTAACCATGGTTATTTTGGTTACCCTGGTAACCTTGGTTATTTTGGTTACCCTGGTAACCTTGGTTATTTTGGTTACCTTGATAACCATGGTTATTTTGGTAACCATAACTGTTTTGGTAACTCTGATTATTTTGGTAGCCCTGGTTTTGATATCCACCGCCGCCTGAAATAAACACCAAATAAGTATAAATAATTTTTAACGGACTGTTAAATAGGATTTGCAGTTTATTTTATATATATTTGGCTATCAATAAGACAAATTTCACAAAACTATTACATTATTTAAACATATCAAATTGAAATTATTGTACATATATAGTAATAATAGTAACTAAATAAATTATTTTATATGTGTAGATGTTTAAACTCAGTTATTTTTGTAAACACATGAAAGAAAAATCAAATGACAATGATATAAAAATCATAGACAAACAAATACCAAATAAGAAAGTGTTACATATATAATGACTTTTTGATAACTAATAAATAAATTTTTATAACAAATTATTTTAGTCCATACACTATGATATTGTACAAATGTATACAGGGTGACTGGTGAATTACTATCAATATTTAAGGAGCATACTCGGTACATGATTGTCATTCGAATTATGTAAAAAAAATAGGTACTTAATTTTTGACCAAATTTCCGTATAAATAAATAAGAGTGTACACGTTCCAAGTGTTCCATGTGTGGACACGTGTGGCGGCGTGCTGATACAACAACACGCCGCCGCGCGCGAGTGTGTGTGTGTGTATACCTAATCTGTAGGGTGTTCACACGATGCGTAATTAATTACATAACTTTTGGTTAACTTTACTTAGAAGTTTATTAATATTTATGTTATATTAATTTTTATTTTGTCATATAAGATCGTCAAATATCACGTCCTCAAATATCGATAGTAATTCACCAGTCACCCTGTATATCTTCTTCTTCTACCTGGCAATTTTCCAGCTTTAGCCAGGGTCTGCAATAGTAGTAATATCTACAATAGTAATGTATGAATATATCTCACCTTGATTATTCTGATTGTATCTATTATCATAGCCAATGTTCTGGTCATAGCCCTTCTGATAGCCTGATTGTCTGAAAAAATATATACCTCATATATATATGGAAAAATATGTATATTTTAATAAACAATTTTAATAGTAGAGATAAAACGTATGTGGTTTTAATTTATAAAGAATATTCGGTTCATTTGGTATATCAATAGTTTAAATTATGTGTTAGACATATATATGTGTTGGTTATTAAAAAAAACATTGTTATTAAATAGAAAATTTGAATGATGTTATTTTCTAAATCAAAGCTGATTATAAAATAAAGTCGTGTTTTCTTATCAAATAATAGATAACTTTAGTGCTCGGAAGAAATAACTTAAGTATCAAATTATAATAATTATATATTGAAAAAACTAAACAAATATTCAGTTGCACATTCTCAGTATCTTTCTCTCTTTAGATGAATATGTATATATCAAACATTACCTCTTAAAGTATATAAATATCAACATAATTTGCCATATTAATACTATTAAATTTAAACAATAAATAATATCTTTATATAAAACGCAAAGAAAAATATAAGGAAGCATAACACAAATAAAAAAAATATTAATATAAAAATATATATATTTGTATTTAACAAAATAAATTATTTGCAAAATGCAATGTTAGTAACATAAGAAAAATATGTATAAACAAAAAAAAAAAACAAAAATAATAATCAAACACATTACTTATAAGTTACAACACTATATACAAAAAAAAATGTATTTAAAATTCTATTATATCGTCGTGGATAGTAGTGCAAATCCGCTTATCATTATACATTTATTTATTTATTTGATAGTAAAATAGTAACATTGGAAGCAGATTATCAGAAGAAAGTTTGAAATGAAATATTTTCTATATTAACGACTTATAAGGTAATTTTTTCACAGTAAATAATTATTTAATGTTAGTAATTACCTTAAAAGACTAATATATAAAATATTTCAGCTCAAACCTTCTTATAATCTACTTCCAATGTAGATACGCGGAATTGCACTATCCCCGACGATAATAAAGGTAATGTCAAATTATACAAAAGCAATACTTAATCCCTACTAATATTATAAATGCGAAAGCAACTTTGTCTGTTACGCTTTCACGCCTAAACCACTGAAATGATTTTAATGAAATTTGGTACAGACATAGAGTTGACCTTGAGAAAGAACATAGGATAGTTTTATCCCAGACTTGAATGGTTCTCTTGGAAACGCGATATAACCGAACTCCACGCGGGCGAAGCTGCGGGCGGAAAGCTAATATGTATATAATTTACCTCACGTCCCCCGAGTTCTGATTATATCCTCCTTGCACCCTTCCTCCTCGACCTTCGCCCTTTCCCCTGTAACCTCCCTGACCTCCCCTGCCTCCTCTATCCTGACCTCCTCCTCTCCCTCCTCTTTCCTGACCGCCTCCCCTGCCTCCTCTTTCCTGACCGCCTCCCCTGCCTCCTCTTTCCTGACCGCCTCCCCTGCCTCCTCTGGCGCCCTAGAAATTTAATTATCTGTTACTATATACCGTGAAGTATATGAGAAGTTCCTTACAATATATAAATATAAAAATACTGACAAACTTTTCAGTGGTCTGTCGACTAAGTGACATAGCTCAAGGATTTTAAGTGTTAATATTGTGTTAGCAATTAGTTTTGAGGGAAAGTAGTTTATTTGTTGTTCAACTGGTATTAGCAGTTCATCATTCTATTCCTTAATTTACCTTTTATATTTGTTATTTTAATTGTCAAATATTATATAGTGCTTTTCTTTATAAAAAATCAATTCAAGTTCCTAAATATATACACTACCTGTGCCCGGTAGTTTTCATCAAGTCTTAATATACACTACTGTGGTAACTCATTAATTATTAATTTAACATAATTATAAACTTCTAATTAATTAATATAGTATATATTAATTTGTCACCACACATTTGTTTAAATTGTCACCTGTGTTGATCTCTGTTGCCATGAAGGCATTTCTGGTGGGGGAGGTTGGGCTTCGTTTGGTCGACCACCTCTGTCAGGTACCTATAAAGATACAGACATAACTAATCTTCCTCTTTCTGGCAATTTCCCAGTATTAGCCAGGGTCTGCCTACGGATATAAGTAATGTGGATAAAATACTAGATAATATATATCTTATATATAAAATTCTCGTGTGTTTTAGACAGAGGACTCCTCCGAAACGGCTGGACCGATTTTTATGAAATTTTGTGAGCATATTGAGTAGGTCTGAGAATCGGCCAATATCTATTTTCATATCCCTAAGTCATAAGGGTTGATCAGTGTTCACCCTTAATTTTATTTTCGGTCTAATTTTTTTTGTTTTTATTTTTTTATAATAAATACATACAATCTAAAATTTTTACTTTTTCATCACCAACCCCTATTTTTTTATATGACAAAACAACGTTAGCCGGGTCAGCTAGTATATATATTAAACAATTTTATTTGACTTCATGCACAATACAAGTGTTATGTGAACTAAACTGATTAAGGATAATTTATCTTCTACCTGGCAATTTCCCAGCTACAGCCAGGGTCTGCCTTACAATATGTTGTGAATAATAGTTTTTGGCTATTAGTTTTTACGACCGGCCGCCTGCCTGACATCACCCCTCTTTTGGGAATCAACATTAATCAGTGATGTGGGAATCAACATTAATCAGTGATGTCTAAATACTCTTAGAAAGTACATATGACTCTGTAAAATCACATTGGTACTTGCCCGGGCCAGGATCGAACCCACGCCCTCGGCGACGAGAGGCGGGCCCTGTAACCACTGAGCCACCACTGACAAAGGATAATTTATAACAGCTATTAATGTAATACCTAATCTACATAATCGTTAAGTTACATCGAATTTTGTTTAGTTGTTTTAGCATGACAAACATCAATATTAGCTCACAATCTTACACATCATCCCTACTAATATTATAAATGCGAAAGTAACTCTGTCTGTCTGTCTGTTACGCTTTCATGCCTAAACATAGGATAGTTTTTATCCCAGACTTTTGAAAGGTTTTTCGGAAACGCGATATAACAGAACTCCACGCGGGCAAAGCTGCGGGTGGAAAGCTAGTATTAAATATTTGCTAAAACATTAATTATTCACTATTAAAAACGCCAATCCATCTTGAGCAAGTGTGGTAATTAATGCTAATGAGAAGAATACTTTCTCCATATGAGAAGAATACTTTTCTAAGCTATGTTCACCGATAGGCTGATGATAATAATGATGATGATGATAAACATTTATAACTCACCCTTCCTATTAAAACCTTATTAACTTCACTAATAGTATTCTTTCTAACACTTGCACTTGATGTTTTTTCCATATACAGTAAATCTGTTCTAGCTGCGAGGAAGTCTGATAATTTTACCGATGGCTTCAATTTCAACTGTTCTCGCTTTGGTCGATATGTTGATTGTATTATATCTGTCTTTGATTTGAGACGATCGGACCACTGGAATTATATATATATGGTGATTAGTTTGCAAAAATATTGTTAGAATGTATATAATATATGTGAGAGATTTGGGTTGTTTTTCTATTCCTGATATCAATGGATGTTAAATAAATTTTAATATAGGGACAAATTACTTGTCAATGCATCAAAATGTGTATTTTATATATATGAAATTTGATGTATCTGTTGTTTTGTTACTGATTCTACATTAACTCTTTTAAGATCTGTCAATAAAACTAATACTATAAAAATAAATTTTATTATAATTTAGGTTAAAATTATTCCAAATATGTATATAATGATAAGATTACATATAATTAAATATTTTTATATTATATACTAAATAACTAACTTGTTTAAACTCACTTCAAAACTCTGTATGGTACATTCAAGTCTCGTTATAAGTGTTTCTCGTCTCAGTCTGTAGTCTTCAAACATTTCGTTATAAAATTCATCCAAATCCTTCCATTCTTTGTCCGTTAAAGCTTTGTTGTACAACGGCTTCCCTACTAAATCACCTGAAATATTCGGTTCAGTATTTGTATATTTGGTTATTATTTAATATTAAATTGCATACAGTATTTACATTGATGTGATAGAAAATAGCTTTAACAAATTCTAATGAATTTCTAAGATATGAGGAATGACACAAAAACATATATATATATATATATATATATACACATGTGTAGTACATATTACTGAAATATTTTCTTATACAATACTTCTGGCTTATTTTTTCTAAGTGTCTGTATATAATTACATTATTATAATTAAATCCCTACTAATATTATAAATGCGAAAGTAACTCTGTCTGTCTGTCTGTGACCCTTTCACGCCTAAACCACTGAACTGATTTTAATGAAATTTGTTACAGATATAGAGTTGACCTTGAGAAAGAACATAGGATAGTTTTTATCAGACTTTTGAAAGGTTCTCTTGGAAACGCGATATAACCGAACTCCACGCGGGCGAAGCTGCGGGCGGAAAGCTAGTTAATAATAAAATACCTTCTTTTGCAATACAATCCTTGAGTTTCGCCTCCAGTTTAGCAAAAAGCATATCCGGTGTAATATTTGGTGGTGGCTTATTGAACTTAAGTGTTATTAATATATCTTTAAGATCCTTCGCTGTTTGAGATTCTTGCTGTGGAATAAATTACAAAAACTTTATAATTACTTGGTTAAAACTATGTATGTGAAACTGTGACTTTATCTGCATATGTAATAAGTAATTATAGATAATTATTATATACATACAAATAGAATTTATAGCTGTAATAAAAACATTATGTATTTATTCAAGTACAAAGTTTCTTATAAGAATTCTATATAATTTTAGGTGACTAATAAAGAAAATTAATTACCACAATGATCTGAAATCATAATTTTGCAAGTGTTGTATGTATTAATATTTAAAAACAAATGACTATTCCACAGAATTAAATAAATATACCATATCTTTTATTTAAAATTTTTTTAAGATAAACATACTGACCCTACTAATATTATAATAGCGAAAGTTTGTGAGTTTGTGTGTATGTTTGTTACTTCTTCACGCTCAAACGGCTCAACCGATTTTCATAAAATTTTGTATACAGGAAGCTGACGTCCAGGAATAACACATAGGCTACTTTACATCCCGGAAATCCGCGAGTAACACCGCGGGGCGCAGCTAGTATCAATATAAAAGTAAGATAAAGAAAGATATTCATACCATAACTATCTGCATGCCTATATTTTCTTTAACACAATCAACTCGGACCATTCTAGCCGCCATTAATTCAGATACCAAATAATCTAGAAGGAGTATTCTGTCTTCTTTGGTTTGAAGACGAGATGACATATGGCCTGGAATAATCAAATTACGGTTAATAACCCACTAATACATATATATTTGGAATGGCGGTAGATTTTTTAGCTATATTATATGGTTTTGCTTAAAATGAAGGAGTTTTGATCTTGTGTAATGAGTTCTGATATTTCTGGGTTTTTTTTACTAAAATGAAGATTTGGTTTGTGAAAAATTTTCTAGTAAAATAAGAGTATTATTTATTTACACACATACATACACATTTTTCCAATAAGAATAAATAATTATTAAGCAAATAAATATATTATAATACCTGTAACCAATTTCTTATATGGACATCCAAGCTCTTTCAGAAATGAGCTCAGTTCTAGAAGAAACGAACTCGACTCGTCAGAATCATTCATAATGCTGACATTTTCTTCTAATTTGCACAAAACCTTCAATTCCTCGGCCAGAATGTGCACTAACTTTGTGTATTCAAGAGATTTGGGTCCACCTTCCAAAGCTTTGGCGAAGGCTTCTTCGTTAGATAATGGCCCTTCATAGCTGAAGACAATTATAAAATTGTTAAAACTTATCAATTTATAGCAAAATTAACAAAAAAGAACTGATATTTAGTTAAATTGTAAGTCTATATAATATAATTAAATTAAACACTTAACATTATATGGTGTGCAGTTATTTTTAAACATTGTGCAATACTCATCAAATTTGTATGCAATTTGTTGCTTATCTTACTTTACTTGGTAATAGCATGACAACAATTAAATTTAACTATGAAATAGTATAGATACAGGTCATTTAAGAAGTTTTGATTGATACATATGGAGTGCAACATCATAAATCGATTTAATTTTAAGTAATTTTAGAGAAGAATATAGAAAATTTCGGTATTTATGTAATAATTGAACTGCAATACTGTATTAAAGCAACTGAAACACAATATTGTAAGGTTCAAACCTGCTTATTTAGATGCGTTTTTCATTCCATACGTCTTAATATAAATTTACGTAATAAATGCCTCACCTTACATTTTTTTATTTAAAGATTTAAATAATTGAATATATCAAATAAATTTAAAACATAATAAATCTTTTTATTGAGTAGAAATACAAAAATAGCCGGCAGCCGTATAGCAGATGGCATTAGCTATGTGTTTAAGTGAAGCTGTAAATTCAGCGAGATTAAAACCTTTAACGATATTTTACCCGATATTACAATAATATATTAACTGAATAGTAAAATTAATAGAACTCCAGAAAAGTTATAAAATCATAACCTCATCATACGTACCCCAAATCGCTGAGAGAATCCAATATATCATTTTCCATGGTTTAAAAAAATTTCTTATTCGTAAATAACACTACGGAACACTTAAATGGCAATATGTTTAATAAATATGAAACTTATAATAATTCTTACAAAAACAAAAGCTGTCTAAATTGTCTTAGGAATCTAAACGCTTTATATCACAAGAAATGCTCAGTGGAAGCAAAGTTTGATAGCAATTTTGCAAATTGAAACCTGGAATTGTCTTACGTCAAATTATTCGATGTTCAGTGCTGCCAACGTTAAATTTGAATATTTAAATTCTGATGACAATATTAATACAAATCCTTTTTTAATAAATATATTAATAAAAGAAAATGTATATCTGAATGCGCATATTGTTTTAAAAATAAGATCGTTTACCAAGTTTAGAGGATGCGTTCGGGTCGATACAACATGAATTAATTCGCGCTAAGATGGTATAACTTTCCAACACCAGTTAGTGTTATGATCGCGTCGTGTTACTCAAAATTTAAGTTTTCCATTACAGAAGGCCTTTCAAAAACTTTGAGTTACACTGTAGGAATATTTCAAGGCTGTTGTATATCTTCAATAATATTTAATATTGTAATTATTATCTTAGTGAATATATAAATAAATAACGAGAAAAACGGGAAAAAACAGATGTCAGCCGTAGAATCGAGACTTCAATTCCATAGACAGTTTTTGATAAGAGCACAAAGTACCAAGAGCAAGTAGATCGATAGAAAGAGCAAGTAGATCAAGTTCGAAGGCCTACGTTTAGGAATGCAGAAAAAGCAGTTAGACATAGGATATTTGTATCTTATTAGCATTAAAATGGCGCCAGCACTGATAAAATTTTATTTAAATGCGCTCCAAATGACTCTCCCACATTCGAGTTATTTAGTAAGATGGGTTATGTAGAGAGAGGAGCTTGGACAGTGGAGGTGAGCGTATAACGCGTTAGATTAAACCTACACCTGTGTCGCAAGTCACAGGCACTGTTGAAGCTCCCCTCCCTGTAACGCGATGGACCCTGCACAAGAACGGTGAATCCATCGAATGCTTAGAAGTTTCGTTTCGTGGGGTTAATGTGAATCCTGCAAAGCTCCAAAATACACACATAAACATTGTCTAGGGATATTTCGTTTTTACCTTATTATATGAGATTCTGTGTATTTTGTTAAAACAATTATACATATATGAAATTAAAGTTTATATAATGGTTTATACTACCAATACATAAAAAGAGATGCATCAAAGATTTTTAATTTATTTTTTGTGATTTTATTTTTGGTTGTATGTAATTTTTACTTTGTACATAATAGATTTTACGAAGTGTTCTGCGAGAATAAAGACCAGCTTCATGTAATTTTCTTCTTACAGTTTGGTCACTAACCAATATTTCGTGGTCAGATTGAAGCTTTTGAAGTCAGTGATGGCCTAATAATGGTTAGAGGGCCCGCCTCTCGTTGCCGAGGGCGCGGGTTCGATTCTGGCCCGGGCAAGTACCAATGTGATTTATCCGAGTCATATGTACTTTCTAAGAATATTTAGACATCACTGATTAATGCTGATTCCCAAAAAAGGGTTGATGTCAGGCAGGCGGCCGGTCGTAAAAACAATTAGCCAAAAACTATTCACAACATGTAAGGCAGACCCTGGCTATAGCCGGGAAATTGCCAGGTAGAAGAAGAAGATTGAAGCTTTTGAACCATTTGCTTAGCTGTAATATTGGTTTGTCTCCTGGCGATATTTTGAAGAAATCTTTGAAATAAAATTTGAAGGTCCTGTCAAGGAGTGATGATGCGATATCTGCTTGAATGCCGTTCAGCGACATCGCCTGTTGCACAATATCGTGACCATAACCGGCGGATTAGATTTTGGCCGGTTTGCAGAGTTTTAGCAACCACGCTTTGTATAGCGCCCGCTTCCAAAATACTTACAGCTCTAATCTGATCTTCCCTTGTCAAATGTCGACGTGACATAACAATAAATGTTACACACGTTGAAATTAGAAACATTGAAGAAAAGAAGGAAATTTTTCAGAACTGCACTGTTTTTTTTTCTACGAGGGGAATCTTTTAAAGACTTCCTGCCGCGGGGGAAACGCGACAGGGGCATGTGGGATTTCCACCCACTAAACCACCTCGACGTTCTCTGCGCTGTGCGTAGACTAGTGAGCGGGAACGGCAAGCCATACTTCCGCTCACTACGCACGAGTCCCGAAAGGGACTCCGCCATCGGCAGGGGTATCAGTGGCTGACCACACCACCCCTCCGACTCAAGAGCAGCGTGCCGGGAACGCCAAACACGCCGCTCTTCCTCTAGCCTATGTTACCCGGACGCCGGTTCCCCACCGACGCCCGGAGGCTTCCTCACTGGGGAGGCAGGTCGCGAGCATAAGCCCGCTGCCTTCGACCCAGCCTTCGTCGGCGCAGCGGCGCCGAGGAGGAATCGTCTTCCCTCACTCGTTCAGCAGCCTCCTTCAGCAAGATGAAGGACTGCACTGTTTTATCGTAACATGAACTAACTTTTCAACCACCAAATTCGAATAATCGACATTCTTTTGTTTTAAAATGAGTTTTTGGTTTTAATTTTTATTGAATTTGGAAAGAAGTGGAGAAGAAAATATTATATGTATATACAATCGTTTTTTATACAGTTAATAGTTTTTAAGTCAAGAAGTCTTTCATGTCCCCAGGCATTGTTGATATGTCTATTACCATTGGGGTTTTCTAAACTGTAGTGTAATGTAATTACATCAAATTACCACATTTACGACTTCACATATTTCTATTCTATATGGACAAAAATTTAGAAACTAGAACTTATTTTTGACCACCTACCTTTCAGGGGTCGGCATAAGGAATGTTTTAAGTACTTTTGTAACTTTTAAATCTATTGAAAATTTAACGTAAAGAAACCATGGTAACCATGAGTTTTTTAGATATTGACTTCAAAATCGAACAAAAAATTATGTAATGTTTCTGAAATGGATAGTTCAGTTAACCTATTTTCCATGTAATAGTTATGTCATGTAAAATATTTGTTTATTAATATTGAATAATCTTGACTTTTTTTTCACTAGTTACTTTACACAAGAACTAGACGTAAAGGACTAGAAAGTCAATTAAATATTTGCTTTAGTCTGCCTAAGAAATAAATTAAAGTATTTTCATCTTTGTTGTGAGTGAAATTTGTATTATATTTCTTTTATTTCTTAAATATTTTTCTATAATGATGGGCTTATTTCAATCATATAATCTCTTAGTTTTCTGATTTTGTCTTTTACTTCGACTATCCTATTTTCTAAAGGTTTTCATTGTCTACGTTGATGATCTACGGTTTTCTGTTGTTTATACGTATCTTTTAATTTGTCTTCATTCACCTTAATCGGTCTAGATGTCACACAATAGATATTTTTTCGGCCCTTTTAGTAATAATTGATATCACAAGGTAGAATTTATATGGATAAAATAAAATATATATGAAGTCTTGTTATCCACCATATAATATTCGATAAATAATTTTAAAATTATATAAAGACATAAATTGTAATTTTTATGTCATTATTTCACTAACACAGACTTTTATACACATTTTTCTAAATAACAAATACATCAAAATTCATACCTAAATATCATAATTGTTTCATACATTATATTTATAATAATATTTAAAAAAACAGCAAATAAAGCTGTTTTTAAAGCACTCGGAAACAGATAAAATTTTAAGCAAAATTATCTCATCAATATATTATACTTATCGTTTAGGTATGTGAACCATCAACTTAAACAAAAAAAAAATAAAAAAAATATATACAACCTCATTTAATTAAATCCTTTTTTGTCGACAAAATATTTCTTAGAACGGGCTGTTCAAAAATAAATAATATGACGTAATGTGAGTATCATCACAACAAACATGTCTTGTAGTTACAAAATACAAAATGTCCGTGTAATATGTATGTGTGCGTGGGCGTGTGTGTGTGTTACCTGCGCTCGCGCATTTACAGGTGATCTTGTGCGTTTTATCAGTTATACACTCTTATAAAATGTATAGCTCTTGAGATACTGTTTAAAATAGCCTTAATATTTCAATTATTCATTTTAATAATATTTGTAGATCATAAAAAAAGGAATTTATCACAAAGAGGCAATTTAATGTACATACATTTCAATACAGTTTTGAAGGTATTGTAGACTATAGTTAAGAATTATATTTTACTTGCAGTAGTAATAATAGATTAAAATATCTAAAAACTTTGAAAATTTTGATACGAGTAGATCTGACTTAACATCTATATATATATATAGATGTTTTAAACATTCTATCTATATTAAATAACTTAAATCATAGAGCAGGTAGATTCAGACCTATTTTATGGCTGTCTGGCTATCGACCGTCGTTACGGAAGGGCGAAGATTAACAAAAAGACTAACAATACCTGTTACAAGACAAATAATGAGGAAATAGAATTGAAATAAAACTGTGCCGTTACTGTAGTATTGTTTACGTAAAAATATGTTGAACAAATGTTATATTGTAATGTTAAATTGTCAAAATACAAGTACAGAATAAATATCCTTATAGTGCCTGTATTTTAAAATAAAAATGGCGTATCTGTCAAAGTTTTTATAAACGAAAACTGTATTAATTTTACAAACAATGTACCTAAATATAAATGTTTCTTTTCCAGCTTCGAAAGGAATTTACAAAATTTTCGTTTTCTTTTTTGAATAAGTTAAGGTATAAAATGTACGAATATAATATCATATAAATGATATAATTTAACACACTCTTAAGTTCGATGTCTGAGAGAGAAATTGCGGCAAAAAAGTTGTATTACATAAGATATGTTTCAGGATACTTTTTATAGTTACTAGAATTAATAGTTTAAATGGAAAATATAACATTCTAGCTTTAATGTTTTAGAAAAATAAACACACATTTATAAACGCTGATTAAAATGTAGATCTAAGTATAATTTACTTTTAAACAAGTGATTAGAACAAATAATTACAATATTACCGCATAA